CTGCTGCTCTTGCAGCCAGGACCTCCCCAGCAGTGATTGCTGCTGCGAGTGTTGCTGCAGCGGGTAGTGTTTTTGACAGTTGCTGCTGCTGCTGCAGCTGCTGCTGCTGCTGTTGCTGCTGCTGCTGCTGCTGCTGCTGCTGCTGCTGCGATTGAACTGCCAGCAGCCTCAGTGTCTTAGGGCGATGAATTGCTGCTGCTTTGTGTTTATTATAAACAAAATAATAAAAATAAATAAAAAAAAGAACAAAAGAAGAAACAAATAAGCAAATTAATATCATATGCTCAACCCAGCATCTCGTCGCAAAACGCCTTGGGGCTTGCTGCTGCTGCTGCTGCTGCTGCTGTTGCTGCTGCTGCTGCTGCTGCTGTTGCTGCTGCTCCTGCTGCTATTCTAGCTGCAGCAGCAGCAGCAGCAGCAGCAGATTTTTTTATGTTTTGTTGCAGTGGAGCTCTGTCTTTCCGGCCTGCTGATTAACACCTTATGAGTCAGCAACCTCTGTGTGTTGCTGCTGCTGCTGCTGCTGCTGCTGCTGCATGCGTTGCTGCTGGTGCTGCAGCTTCTGCTGCAGTTCTCTGTTTGTTATATAATTAAAAGGCATAGAAATACAAGCATATACTGTTGCTGCTAATTTCTGTTCTTATAGATGCCTCAGCTTGCATTGCTGCTGCTGTTGCTGCTGCAGTTGCTGCTGTTGCTGCTGCTGTTGCTGCTGCTGTTGCTGCTGCTGTTTCTGCTCTTATTGTAGCTGCTCCAGTTCCTGCTGCTGTTGCTGTTGTTGTTGCTCCTGTCGTTGTTGTTTTGCTGTTGCTGCCGCTGGTGTTGCTGCTGCTGCTGCTGCTGCTGCTGCTGCCGCTGCTGCTGCTGCTGCTGTGTGTCTGCTGGGTAAAGGGCAGCGTCGTGAAGACAGCCATTATATATATATACATACATACATACATACATATATATATATATATATATACATATATATATGTATATATATATATATGCGAGCATGTATACGCTCTGCCTCTCTTTATATATTGGATCCGTGGAGGGCAGCA